AAGTGTGACCTTTTCTGCATATTTACCAATCTCTGTGTCACAACCATAGACATATAAAAGATAGACTGCTTATGAGGTAGTGGGGGATGTCCTCCTGAGGGAAAAGGACAACACCAATTTATTTGGGTATCTATCTTCTTCTAGTGTACGTGATCACGTGGGCATGATCACGTGATCGCCTTCAGATCACGTCCACTAGAGGAAGACAGATACCCAAATAAATTCATGTTGTCCTTTTCCCTCAGGAGGATGCCCCCACCTAGGGTTCCACTGCCTCATAAGCAGTCTATCTTTTATATGTCTATGGTCACAACCGACACGCATGCGTGCTAACGTTTTCGGCTGGCATCACTGATGCGCGCGCGCGAGAGAGAAAGAAAGAGAGAGAGAGAGAGAGAGATATCTTGCGCGGAAAGATCAACGAGACGAGCTACGGCCGTAATCCCGATCGATCACGGATCTCCCTCCCGAGACACGTGGAGATGAAAGACAGCCGCTCCGCTTTGTTCGCGAGATCACGACTCGGCGATCTACGGCCGCCCTGCGGATCCCGGAAGTCTTGCTTTGACTCCCAGACAGGGAAGTTGCAGCTCGGCTCGCGAGATATTTCGAGCTAAGATAAGGGAATCCCTCCCCCATGCCCTTCACCCCGCTCCGCTGTCTCCTCGCCCTCGAACGCCCTCAATCTGCAGCTCGCTACGTGCGGGCAGTTCCTTAACCCTTTGACAACGTGCACTAGGGGATGTTGCGGAATTAATTCCGTTTGACCGTCGATTCTTGCGCGTGTTAGGAAATTTTCGTTTTTTTTAAATTTTTTCTTTTAGGAACGAGAGAACCTTTTTTTAATTGGCGGCAGATTTAATTACGGAGATATTTAATCGGGAATGGATGTTAATCAATGTATTTAAAGTTCGTCTTTTTTTTCAGCGAAGAGAGCGAAGATTCGATTACGGGCGTATTTAATTAGGAGATTGATGGATTTTTAACGAACAAGAGTCATTAAAAAATTTTTTTAATTCACTTTCAAATTCCCTTCGATAGATACGTTTCTGTGTTAAATGAGAGCGCAAAAAAAGAAAAAAATCGATTTATTAGAGTCTTTCGGCGCGACCTGTTCATTCAATTGACGCATTTCCGAGCGAAACAGTTCGCTCTTTTTTTTTCTTGTTTTCGCACAGCAAATAGAAAGAGTAATTTTCCGATAAGTTTCCAGCGCGTTCTCTAATTACTCAATGTTAACAGAACTTACGTTCAAGTCATGATTACCGAGGTATTTAAATACAAAAGTTACATTCAAGGTTTGATTACCGAGAGCTCGGATATAATGACTTCTGAAAAGCTTCGGCGCGCGAGACCCGTATTAAAACTTCATCGGAGGATCGTCGGACACTTCGTACGAGCGAGGCATCCCCGCGGTGATCCCGCGATAAGGAAATTCGAACTATCCAAGAAACGAATCAATGCGTTTAATTCCAACGTCGCAAGGCGGGGAAAAGAGAGAAGACGCGGGCGAGGGGGAAGGAAACTCGCGTCGCGAATTCGATTGCCAATCTCTCTCGCGGGGCCCATCCACGTGGCCGTCGCGGTCCGTTCCGGCCCCTCGAAACCGGAAACGGGGCGTTAGCTCGTGACGCGAACAGCCTCCGCGCTCTCGCGCAAAAAGCGAAGAATCGCGCGCGGTGAATTCAATTATGCCCGGGACGAGGCGGGAATTGAAACGCGCTCGGCAATTTCGCGAAGTACGTGCAATAGTTAAAGAGAGGCGGAGGCGGCGATGAGAGAGGAGCGGCGGGCGGGGGGCAGGGGAGGGCAAGCAGGAGGAAATGATAGATGCGAACTATGCGAGGACGAAGGCGGGCGGGGTGGGTGCGAGAGAGAGAGAGAGACTCTTCGGCAAACTTCATTTCCCGACTTTATGCTATTGAGAGATCGAAACAATGCGTCGAGAAGATTTAAAGCCATTGTGCGGAGCGCGTTGTAATTAGTATTTCGCGTCGGCTCGCCCGCCACCCCCCTCGTCCCCACATCCGCGCGCCCTGACCCCCTTTCTTCTCTCGCGTCTCCCCACCGCGGAAGTATTTTCCCCTCACTGCCCCGGCGTCTCCCTTTGCCCGACAAATAGTCCGTAGCATTCGTGGCGTTTCTTTTATGCGCGGAGAGACGACCGTAAAACAAGGCGACGGGGGGGAACGGTGGCGTCGATACGACGCCGGGACACGGTTGAAGTAAAACGAACGAGCAAATCGAATCACGATGCCGGACGACGCTGCAGGGCACGGAGGGTCAAGAAGAGAGGAGATGTACAACTGCAAGTCGACGCGCGGAAAGGGAAAAATAACTCGCCGCCCCTTTTGTATGCATCGAAACATTCGCGTTCCGTTCGTCGCACATGTAATTTTAACACTTTGACCGTCGCGAGCAAACCTGACTTCGGCGTTGAGCTCCGGGAGGCGACGAAGAAATGCGCCAATGTTTGGGAAAAAATTAAGAAATCTAAAAAATATGCATCATACATTTTGTAATTTAATTTCAGGTGGAGTAAACAAAACTGTCGCGCTCGTCGACCGATAAATAGTCTTCTTGTGATTGGAGCAGATATCGATAAAGAACTCGGTTGGTTTCTTACATATTTCGTAAAATTATTCAGAGTCGAGTAACTAAAACTGCTATAATAAACCTAATAATTGTACAAAAGAACGTTTGCATGAACCGCGATCTTCGTTTCCTCGCCGCGTAAAATATATATATAAAATAAATAAAGCTCGACGAAATCCGATTTGCACGCCTGAAGCAGCCTGATCTTTAAATTTGCCGAAAAACCGCGAGCCAGATTACCCGACTTTTTCTCGCGCTGAAAAGCGTCGAAAAATCCGGAGCGTCGGACGCGCGTTAAAAAGCCGAATCTCAGAGAGGGCGAGCATTCCGGCGGGCACGAGGCGCTCCCTCGCACGAGGAAATATTCGCCTGTCTGCGAACTTTTCGCTGGCGCGGCTCCTCTCGCCCCCTTAAGCGCTATTAATTGGTCCGCGAGGATGCATAAGCCGGCCGCTTGCCCGAAAACGCAGATAAACCACGTTACGGAAACGCCCGATGGGCATAACTTGCTAACAAGGAGCGAGACAGAGATCGATAAACGTCGAGCAACTCTTAACGGGGTGTTAACTTTAACTTCCCTTCGCGTACACTCACGATCAGTTCGTATGCAGCTCATTTATATCATTTATTCAATAGCCAACTTTGTCCGATATCATTTAAGGATCGTGTTAGCGACGCATTTCCATAGACAGCTTTGACAAAATTCATACACGGAGAGAATGTTCTCATAAAAGAGTGAGAACAAGTGGTCCATAGGCAAATGACCCTATTTTTCGCATTCGATTCTGGTCACAAAGTAGGTACCAAACGAAAGGTGTCGTCAAGCTGATTATTTAACGCTAGTTAACGTTCCAGAAATATCGGGCTCCAAAAAAATGACGTTACAAATGCTTTTGACCGAGCCTATTGATTAGATTGTAGAAAGTAAAGGAG